CAGCGCAACATGCCACACAAATCGTGCCATACTTGATTTATTGAAGGAATCGTTTGGCAACCGCATAGTTTCACGTTTTGGTCCGTGAATTGGCCTCCAAGATCGTGCGATTTACCACGGCTAGATTATTTTATGTGGGGATATGTGAGTTGAAAACTCTGTGTAGAAGGAAAAAGAGATACCACAATGAGTTGAAATTAAAAGAGATAGAAGAGAAGTTAAAAAAAAAGAGGTGAGGTCGTTCTATCAAGAAGTTAAAAAGATGGGAAAAGGTTACCAAAGCCACTGTAGTTATATGAAAGGTAAAGACGGAAATTTAATTAGCGATCCGGCAGAAATAATGAGGGAATGGAAAAAACATTTTGAAGAACTATTAAATGGTGAGGTGGACCACGAAGCAGTAGACAACTGGATGGTTGGAGAAGATGCGATAGTTGAAAGGCAGCCTACAGAGGAGGAGGTGGTGACAGCAATACATGAAATAGAAAATAACAGAAGTCCAGGTAAAAGTGACATATGCATAGAAATGATCAAGTTTGGTGGAGAACAACTACAAAGAAAAATATATCAACTACTAGTGCAAGTATGGGAAAAGAAAATAATGCCATCGGAGTGGTATGAAGCCTGTATATGCCCTCTGCATAAAAAAGGAGGCAAACTAAAGTGTGACAACTATAGAGGTATAGCCTTACTAGACACGGTATACAAAATCTTGGCAAGAATATTGAGAAATAAACTATATTGTTACACGGAAATAATCCTACATGAGGATCAGGCCGGCTCTAGAAAGGACAGATCTACTGTAGACCAAATCTTCTTATTAAAGGAGATACAAACGACTTGTTATGAAGGTAAAGTTCCCCTGCATGTTTTGTTTGATGACATGAATGACATTAAATAACTCTAAGTGTAAAATTACGTGGCAGGGTCACATATCAGATCAATTTACAGTTGCAAAAGGCTTGAGACAGGGAGATCCTTTATCCACTACATTATTGAACTTAGTTTTAAAAACTGTAATTAGAAAAAGCAACATGAAGGTGGAAGAGACAATCATGAAAAATGAGCACCAGTGCTTGGCATTTGCTGACGATTTAACGATCCTAGCAAAAACCGAGAAAGAATTAAGAAGAAGAGAAAATCATCGAAGAAGCACAAAAATTCGGATTGGAACCAAATGAAGACAAAACCAAATATATGATCATGGGAGGAACAGAAGGGAAAAAAAGAAGACTTTAGTGTGAGATCTGTAAGTGGTAAAAGCTATAGTTTTTAAAAGGGTGGACAAATTTGAATACCTGGGTGTAGTTTTCGATGAAAATGAAAAAGAGGAATGGGAACTGGAAGCGGGAATAGCAAAAGGGAATAAAAAAATTAGGTAGTTTAAGAGCCCTACTGAACTCAAAATACGTTTCTAGACAAGGTAAACCCAGAATATATAAAACAGTAATTCGACCCATAGTAACATACGCCGATGAGACATGGATATTAAATAAGAAGGAAGAGGATACTCTGGAAAGATGGGAAAGGAAGAAGTAGACCCAGAACGAGGTGGATTAATAAAGTGGAGGAAGACCTTAAACACGTGAAGGTGAGGGACTGGAAAAGAAAAGCACAAAATAGAAGCGAATGGAGAAATATTGTCCACAAGGTCCTTCAGAGTAGATAAGAATGTTGTATATACATATTTATTTAAGTTAAAGTTTTGTTTCAATAATTGTAATTAGTTAATATTAGGATTATGTTTACAAAAATTGCCCTAGGCCTTAACGGCCTGTTGTGCGTAAAAATAAATAATTTAGGACTACGTACTAGAATTTGATAAAATTTTATTAAATTTGTTGATTTTTTAACTAAATTTGCATACTCGTATCTAACGCATTTTTGTCCTCTAAAATGTGTGTCAAGTTAGTTAGAATATCCTTCTTTTTGAAACATTAACATATTATGTATTTTTTAAATAAAGTAGTGTATAATAAATGTGCTAAGCCGGTTGTGTCGCTGAAATTTATTATGAAAAATTAGATGAATGTTAGCGGTTAAGTTACTTAGTTCAATAACACCCAGTTCTTGAAGAAATGTATCAACTATGTAATCTTGCATTGGTTTAGTTATAATTGATTCGCTATTAGAACGTGTATGTTTGGTTTTATTTAACATTCAATGTGAAATTTTGGCAGTTTATTAACAAATGGCAGGTAAATATGAGTCCTAATTGGTCCTAATACGAAAAATCTTTACAAAGATTCTTTTCACACGTCAATTTTGGGTGCACTTGCCACTAGTTTTACTATAATTTAGGTTTTTTTGATATCAAAAGAGGATTTGTCGGTTAAAACTTTATTTATCTTTTATCTAATGCTATGATCTATTTGATTCACCGTCCTTCCATCAGGGGAGACCCACGTACCTTTGTATATCTCTTTTTATTTTAGTTGTGTGCTTCTCACCACCATGTTTTTCTCCATGACAAATCCAATAAGTCTTTGACCATTATCGTTCGTTACTTTGTGTTTACCATAGTTACCAGTTACTGCAGTGTACAGAGGTTCTTTTCTCACTTTAGCATTACAATCACCCATTATTATTTTTACATCACGTTTAGGTAGGCGCTCGTATTCATCATTTAGCTGCTCATATTAAAGATCTTTTATTTCGTCGTCCTTGTCTTCTGACGGTGGATGAATATTGATTATACTCCTATCCTTTTTCTTACTTTTAATTCGTATTGAACACATCCTATCAGAGATAGGATTAAAAGCTATCACTTTGTCCTTGATACATTCAGCTACGAAAAAATAAGTTCCAAGCATTCTATCTTTACCTCCACTTTTGAAGAGCCCCTTATCTTCTATATCAGTTATTTCCGATCCTAATTGTTTTGTCTCTTGAAGAGCCAATAAATATATTTTATACTTCCTTGCCTCATTCATTAGTTCTTTTAGCGCACCTTCATAAAACGTTCCTCTGACATTTCATGTAGCTAAATGTATCTTGTTTTTCTTCGGCTTTACCTTTGTATTCCTGTCTTGTTTTGTTTCGTTTTCTTAGTTCGTAATCCTTTTTTTTCGCATTGTTCGTCTTCATTTCTTTTCTTTTCATGCTGGTGCTTAGTTTTTTTGCTTTGGTCTCTACTACCAACGTTTGGCTCATGCCATCCCAGCGTCATATTTTCTGATCGGAATATATTTTCTTATATCCTACTTTCACTTTTCTCCCTTCCTGTCTTAGTTCTTGCGCTTTCCGTCTGACATATTTCTGTACAATTCTATCCTTCTTTGACAGGTCATCATTGATATAAACTAGACATTTTCTTCGGTTTCTTAATTTGCTTTTGTTTCGCATGACTTTTCTTTTGTCCTCTTCCTTTTCAAGCTCAACCAGACAGACTTTTTCTCCCAGCTTCACAACCTTCTCTATTTGAACATCGACTGCTAATTCTACCTGCATAAAATTTTTTATTTCATGTTTTAGAGTCTCTGGGACATTTGTATCTATGTTCATGCCTTATATAAGTTCTCTTTTTTTCTCTCTTTTTTTGTCTAAGTGTTTTTCTAGCTGCGGTTCTCTCTCTCTCTCTGTGTGGAATCGTATACGTTTTTCTTCTGATGGATTCGACAGATAATCAATTATTTTTTTGTTTGCTACTTTTAGAGTTATTTCACATTCGTCGTCGAACCATTTTTTCTTTTTTGTTTTTTTCTTTCTTTTGATTCCTCTGCTGCTTCTGTAATAGTTGTTTTTATGGAGTTCCATCGCTGATCTATATCCTTACTTTCATTTTCATTCATTTCCAAAACCTGAAACCTATTTCTTAATTCTACTTGGTACTGTCTTTGAATATTTTCTTCTTTCAGCTTCGCCACATTCCATCGTTCGATCTTTGCGTGTTTATCTATTTCTTGTGTTGAAATTCTTGTTCTGAGCTTGGCCTTTACGAGAAAATGGTCTGTGTCGCTGCTAGAATGTCTCCCATCAATCAATACGTGATCTATTGGATTATTTGTTCTTCCATCGTTTGATTTCCATATTGCCTTGTGGATCTTTTTTCTAGTGAACTGGGTGCTTTTGATGGCTAAGTTGCAGCCTGTCGCAAAATAGACCAAACTTGATCCATTATCGTTTGTAACTTCATGTAGACTATATCTTCCTGCCACCGGTATTACGTAGTCTTCTGTGCCTACCTTGGCGTTTAGATCACCTAGTATTATTTTAATATCGTGTTTAGGAGCTTTTGTGTAGAGTTGATTTAAAGAGTTGTAGAATTCATTTTTATCATCCTCTAATGCGTCTTCGGTTGGTGCATACACTGAAAATATATTTAAATTTAATCATTTACCTCTTAATCTTATGATGCAGATTCGTTCGTTTATTGGTTTAAAGTCTAATAACTCTAAGATTGTAGTCTTTCATGTATTACAAAGCCACATCCTCTTTCATGTCCAGACCACAGTACTAATGACTTTTCCATGTGTATTGTTCCAGACCCTGACCATCTCATCTCTTGAATGGCAACTACAGAATGGCAACTATTACAAAATTGGTCGGTAATAAATCTATCATTTGATTGAAAGATTTCTCAAAAACATCAGCAGTCATTTGGTCATGGTAGTCGTTCGAAGAATTTGAAATAAAATCCAGCAAGCTTCTACTTCTCATTTAATGCCTATATTTCGTTAGTTATTTTGCATGCGAATTAATTGATGTCAAGAACCACTATTCTATGATACTACCGGTGAAGACGCCATCTTGTGGCGCTAGTTCCGTGACGCTCGCCTCAGCATTTTACTATAAAGAAAAAAAAGTAATACACTGGCAGTCTGGATCTAGAAGCTTCGCTTCGAAAGCTGGTATTTTACGTTAAATAATGATTTAAAAGTTTCTTTTAAAAAGATTTTCCAATCAGAAAAGTGGTAAGGGGGTCTCATACTCTATGTATTTTTTAAATTTTAGCTTATTTATTTGCGGCGAGTAACAAGTGAAAATAACAGGAAGCAGTCATGTTTAGAACTTGTATAAAAGTGATTATCTGTTTGTTAAGTTTTATTTTGATTGGAGGAGCCAATGAACTAATTGCTATAGTGACGGTAAGTTATAATAACTTATTTTAATTTCTTTCTTATTATATTAATCTGTTCATCTCAAGTCCATTTTATATTCAAATTTGCATACAGGCTTCTGAATTACATATTCTCCATCCTTTGCGATTTTCATCTATCTTAAACCAGCATTTCTCTTTAGATCAACTGCCTCATCATCATCTCATCTCTGGTCTTCCTTTGGGTCGTTTTCATTCGCAGGATCTCGAGTGCAGTACTTATATTTTTTATCTATAGATACTTACTTTACTTTATCGTGTCCGGACATGTCATTCATAAAATTTCGGCCCAGTATCGGGCTACGTCGGTTCCATCTTTGTTGGCGAGCCACAAATCTTCAACGGTACATCGATGAGGACAGTTTCTACATGTAAGAAGATGTTCCATATTCTGTGTTTCTCCACAGTCACAGTTTTCACATCATCTTGGTCTATTTTTCTCCATTTTGCCATGTTTGATTTTACTCTAGCAACCCCCGTTTTCATCCTATTCAAGGTTTTCCACGTTTTAAAGTCTAGGGTCTGGCCGGTTCATTGAACCTGGGGAGGTGGAAAATACTCAGGCGGTTCATCCTGCACTGTTCCAAGGAAGCTTTTCCTAGATTTTATTCGCTTTCGTGGTGTTCGAGCTTTGTATAGGGCATGCCGATCGTCCGCGATCTGCTTAATTTTCTTTATGTGTTCTGCAGCGCCTCTGCGTGTTGAGGGTTCTGCAAAACCCGCTGCTCTATATAGATTTGAAAGTGGCGTTGATTTCATGCACCCCGTTACTATCCTGCATGTCTCATTTAGCGCAGTGTCAACTTGTTTGGTGTGGGCAGATCTGCTCCAAACGGGGCACGCATATTCAGCAGTTGAGAAACACAGTGCCTGTGCCGTTGTTCTTAAAACGTGCGCCCCAAGACATGCGCCCCATTTACTTCCCGTTAGCTTTCTGAGTATGCTGTTCCTAGTTGTTACTTTCCCTCTTGTTTTTATGCAATGTTGTCTGTAGGTGAGTGACCGGTCCAGAGTTACTCCAAGATATATAGGTTGGTTTGTGTGTTCTAATGCATTACCATTCCACACAATTTGGAGTTTTCGCTTGGCTTCCTTTGTGCGAAGGTGGAAAGCGTAGACTTGGATTTTAGATGGATTGGGTCTCAGAGAATTCTGCAGGTAGTACGCTGTCATTGTGTTTAAGGCAGTTTCGAGTTTCTCCTCCACTTCTTCAAAACTATTTCCTTGAGCACATATTGCAAGATCGTCAGCATAGAGGAAGTGCTTGGTTTCGGTCGGAGTAGGTTGGTCGTTTGTGTATATATTGAAGAGCATTGGTGCTAAAACACTTCCCTGTGGGAGGCCGTTTTTTTGAACTCTCCACCTACTTACTTTACTCTCCAACATAACGAAAAAACGTCTATTTTGCAGTAAGAAATATACGACCTTTCCCAGATATTGATCATTGAGAGTGTCGTATAATTTACGGAGCGATGTTTTGTGCCTTACTGTGTCATAGGCTGTTGTCAGGTCTACAAAAGCAGCCCCTGTTATAAGTTTTTCTTCAAAGCCCTCTTCAATGTGTTCTGTTAATGCGAGGACTTGACCGGTGAAAGATTTGCCAGGTCTGAATCCTCCTTGTTGTGGGATGAGGTGCTTGTCGACATTTTTTTCTATTCTGGCGAGTATGAGTCTCTCGTATAGTTTAAAAAAGTGACACAATAGCGAAATAGGTCTGTGGCTACTGGGGTCTTCTGGATCCTTTCCTGGTTTTAACAAGGCTTTGCATCACGTGTTATAAAATTGCAAGATCCAGTTTTTTGCTCCTTAGCCTAAATGCTTTATTTGTTCACTGCATATATCATCCACACCTGCAGCTTTCCCGTCTATAGATCATCTGACTTATGTAGTGGCCTACAAATTTCCAGTTAATGAATGTTGCTTTTACAACATCGTATCTTTTTGTCTTTACTCGGTACATTTTCTGTATTGTCTATTTTCTGTTGTCTATTTCCAACATTTTCCTATCGTCCTATAGATCTGTTCTAATTTATCCATGTTCGATCTTGTCATTGTCCATGTTTGGCATAAGAATGTCGTCACTGGTAGGACGTACTAGTTAAATAGTTTTGTTATCAATATAGCATCATCATCTTTAGCTCGAAAATCCTTCGTCAAATCCCATTCTGGTCAGTTTTTGGCGACCTACTATCATTTTCTGATTTTTAATGCTCCTAAATCGGTTTTAACTCCATCTAACCACCTCGTGAAGTAGCGATCAGCCTCTGCTTCACGGTAAGCTTTTAAGCAATCGTGTTATAGGCATTCGTATTATATGTTCAGAGTTCAGTCCATCCAAGTCGATGTGCTTTAATAAATGTCCTCTGGTTCATTAAACAGTGGGTATAACTCAAAATTATATCTTTTGCGCCAATGTCCTTGGTCGTTATTAATATATGGGGTCTTTAATTTAGCGTTTCTTACATTTGAATTTAAATAAACTTAAATGTGTGAGATATCTTCAAATTTTTTTATTCGTTTGAAAGGCCTCTCGATGTTTTTATGTACGGAATATAATCGTCGCTGCTTCCCAGTGTGGCGAGCATCCGAGATGTTCAATTGTCCATGACTTAGGCTAAATTTAACCTAAAATCAGACTGAAATTCACCGATAACATAAGGTATGTTAGTTTGAAGGGTTGTTGTAGTTTGTGGCTTATTCGTATCTGTGACTTGAGAAAATCCCACAAGGGATCAAATCGCACGTCCTCCAAATGATATGATCTGTCCTCAAAATAAATGTTACTGGTGTCCATAAAAGACAATTCAGGCAAACAAAAGTTGGTAATCATTTACTTATAGTGATAGCCGTTGAAGGTGATGGCTTGGCCAATGTCGTTCTTAAAGAAATATTGATCGATGACGCCTACGGCCCAAAAATTTACAACATACAATGACTTTTCTAGATGAAATTGACCCTTTTGGATCTTTGGATTTGTAGTATCCCGAATTCGATAATTATATTTGCTGGCGTACACATTTATCAAAAAATAGGCCTTATTGTTTTTTTTTATGACAATTAGGGTCAGTTTACAACTGCTACAGAGCGCATTCAGCTTACACATCGTTGTTTATGATCGTTTGGCGATCATAAACAACGATGACTTTGTTGGTTGCTATACGGAATAGCTGTGTTGAGATCTTTCTATACCATGCTCTCAGGTTAGTAAGCCAGGATATTTTTCTTCGCCCTGGAGGCCTTTTTCTTCAATTTTACCTTGCAAAATGCATTGAAATAGCTCATATCTGCATGGATTTCTCATTATATGTCCCAAATACTGCAGTCTAGGGCCCTTCACGATGTTGACCAAATCCGCGATTGTGTTCATCCTCCATAGTACTTCTTCATTGGTGACTTTGTCTGTACACGGTATCTTCAGGATCGTTCTGTACAACCATAGCTCTAAAGCCTAAAGTTTTGATAGAGTTTTCGCCTTCAATGTCCACGTTTCTACTCCGTACAGAAATACTGAGTACACGCAACATTTAAGGAGCCATATTTTTGTTTCTAGGCTGAGATCATGGCACTTGAAAATAGAGCTCATATTCAAGAACCCAGTTTTTGCCTTTCTGATGCGACATTTATTCTCTTGGGTAATGTCCCAAGACTCATTGATTATAGTTTCCAAGTAGCTGTACTGTGAGATACGTTCAATGCTCATTTGGTTCACATACAGATTTGCTCCAGTTATGTTTTCCTTGCTGATGATCATTAGCTTGATTTTGCTAATGTTTATATCCAGTAAATATGTTCTACTTGTTTCCATTATTTTGTTTTATTAAGTTTTGCAGCCCTTCTATGGAATCGGAAAACATAATTGTATCATCGGCAGGCTATTGAGCTTGACTTCATTTATTGAGCTGCCTTGATCAAAAGCTAGAGCCTCTTTAAAAATGTGCTCCGAGTACAGACTGAATATCAATATTGAATTATGCACCCCTGTCTAACTCCCCTTAAGATTTTGACCTGATTTGTATATTCTCCATCTATTCGAAGCACCGCTAATTGATTCTAATAAAGGTTACATGCTATAGGACTAAATAAATGACAGATCTATGTAACTTCAGCAATATGACCTCTACCAATTGTCCAAGTTGGGAAGTCCCTATTAGAATACCCGTATACTGGGTAGTAAATACACGCAGCATACGAAACGCAATGCCAAAATCAAAAATGTTCCTTTGGATTCTGCAAATTACGTACATTCTAAATTAGAATTGTTGGAATACATTTAGAGGTTTTGTTTTAGAAGAATCATAAACAGGTCTAAAAGTTGGAATTGTGTTTACCTATCTCTAACAATTTAATTTAAATTTTAGGTATTTTTGGAACGCCACTGCTTTGGGCGCAGCTTTACTGTTCATATCTGCACCACTACATTTGAAATAACCTCTACCATTCATAAACAAACAAAAAATTATTTTTTTTTTGTTTTGGTTTAATCTAAAAGAAAGCCTTGAAAGATATATATGTATTGTTAGAAGTATTCAGAAACGACATTATTGAATCATTCTTTGGGAAAAATTTAAATGTATATAGAAATTTTTTTGGAAAAGCTACGAGAAGTGAGGAGCTAGACCGTTCCTAATGTGTAGCAACACTAGTGCTACTAGGTTGTCAGCATATATTTTGTCCAACAATATGATTTGTATGAAGATTGTACGTAACGCTTCGCATTCTCTCTAATTTTTGAATTATGATTCTAAAAAATATTCTTTTTTTAACAATATCATATAACCTAAAGTACTTCTTGTCATTTATACATTACTTATTTTAAAATGGATGATTAGTCAATTTCAAATAAACACTTTTTAAAAAAAATTCTTTTAGCTTTTTCGTCATGGGGCAAGAACACCAATTAGTTTATATGAAAATGATCCCTACAAAGCAGTATCATCTGAAATATGGCCAGAAGGTGATGGACAATTAACTAATGTAAGTATATCGCAACCAATTTACCGTCCAAGAGTAAATTATTTAGTAATATCGCACCCTCAGTGCAAGACTGCAGTAACTCAAAATTTTATGAAAATGAAGTAATCATGGAATTCGATTGTAAACATGCATATCTATCCCCTCTAAAACTTTAGTAACTTTCAAATGCTTAACCGGCTAAATATTACAACAACAACTATTCTGTACATAAGTTCCGTGCAAACCTGTTGTAAACAGTGTTGCACGGAACATTGCAACGATTTCGATAACAAGCAATGAAAGGCACGAAAACAGTAGAATATTTGTTATTTTAATATCTATATCTGTGGTGTTTAATTTTAATATACAGAGTGTCTACGTAATCCATTAACGGCCGAGACAATAAACAAAGATTTATGAGATATTCTATTCTATTCATGTAAGTTTTGTGTCCTTTGTGTGACATTTGTGTGGCATCTATGTATTTGTATGTTGTTACTACAACATACAAATACATCTTTTACAAATACATGTTTTAATAACAGACCACACACAAAACGCTAGTGACAACATGCACTCATTAATATACCGGCAAAAGAAAAGAGCGCTGAAGAGCGGTCCAATTTATGTTCCTACTGAATGGGAAACTGTAGGGAAATGTAGCAAAAAAGTGATTCATCCTTCATAGTCCGGGAAATGGAAACAAAGGACTTCATTGATTTTAAACATGTTTCCTTTCTGTTGGGAAACAACTATAAAATTGATCAAAATAAAGAAAATATGAAGTGGACAGATATAAAAATTCTGCAATGTAGAAAAGGTAGTCCTCACACATTTTCTTTAAGTACAATTATGAAATTCTTTTAATGTAAAAAAATCATCACGGACTACACATAATATACGAGAAGTGCTACTTAAACCTGCCCACAAAGAACAGCCAAAAATTCAAATAGCCAAAAAGAAAGATTTGGTATACTGATGTCATTCGGGTATGATACCAGAAGCCCACCATAGTTTTTATAAAAATATTTTGGTCCAAGATGATATACGAGAAGAGGACAACAACTAACAGAAAATGTGTCTACACTTTTTACAATTTTCTCTGCAAAAGTGTTGTAAATTTGAAATTCCTTATTTTTTTAGCATTAATATTATTTTATTTAAATTTCTAGTTTTGGTTAATGTAATATAGGCTGAAAAGCATGCCAAATCATAATTAAATGTTAATTTTTCTTAAAACTTGTGTCTTATTTCACCGATATTAGCACGAAAATAAACAAAATCGTCTTTAATCTCGAAACTTACTTATTCTGACTTACTGCAGTTTTGCACTGAGGGTGCGATATGTAATGTAAAATCATCGTAGCACCAATTAAATGTTACAATTCAAGTATTTTTTTAATACGGCTTTAATTAATATATTTTTTTAATGAACTGTGTTAACAAAATATCATTTTTCCTAAAAAAAAAAGAAAATCAGCAAAGAGATTTTTGCAAAATTCCGAAATTGTTTTTATCAGATTTTGTTTGTTTGAATTATACAAATTGTTATTAATTAACGGTTAAAAAGGTATTAAATAACAAAAATAGTAAAAATCAAATAAATCAAGGCCTGCAAATGGTTAAAGTACTTTTATAATAAAATTATTACTTTTATCAATATAAAAACTTAATTACAATAAAAAAAAAAAAGAATATATATTATAATTGAATAATTTAAATATTTATATGTATAGTTTTTGCTATTCTCTATTAGGATTAATAGAATAGTATAATTGACTTTAATAACAAGGGTTAACATAATCAAATTTGTAACAAAATGTGCTTTTTGCTTGGTATGCCATTAAGTAACCCTATTTAAATCGGTGATAGTATAGATATTTATGTTGAGAATGTATAGGGGAGACCGAGGTTAGTAGTTAGAATTTAAAGATTTTATTTTTTTGTGCATTCAATATGTTAAATAGGCACCTTATAAAAATTGGTGTCAGAAGCACTCACTTCGATATTATTATTTTAAATATTAGTGAGACCGCCCACCAAACTGGCGTGGCAAGTGGCAAGTCTAGCGTGTTAATTAAAATGATTCAGCGCACACCAAAATGACAGTGACGTCATTCATTCTAAACATTCGTTTGCATTGGTTACATTTTAAGTAACGGGAATAACGGTGGAAGAAAACACGTTATATACACTTTTCTTTGCGGATGACCAGGTAGTAATTGCCAAAGATAGCTACAATCTTAGCTATATGGTAAGAAAACTGCAAGAAGAATATGAGGTGGCAGGTCTAAACATGAATATGACAAAATGTGAATATCTATCAGTGGGAACAGATGAAATATGTGACCTAGTCTTGGAAGACGACAAAATCAAAGGCGTATAATCCTGCAAATATTTGAGGGGTCATTTTCAATAAGAAGGGAAATAGCGCAGATGAAATCAGGGAAAGAATAAACAAGGGTAGAGCAGCGACCCGTGCCTTAAACTCTCTTCTCTGGCAAAAAACAATTCGACGAGAAACCAAAAAACACATTTACGGTAGTATAGTCCAAAGTATTACACTTTACGGTTCGGAAGTATGGGACGTCACCAAAGCTAATAAAAACAAACTTATGACGACAGAAATGGATTATCTGAGACGAAGCTGCGGTAGATCGAAACTAGAAAGGAACGAACAAATAAGAAACGAAATGAAAATGGAGCGAAATATCAATGATGACATAGAAAGAAAACAATTAATCTGGTTCGGACATGTTAAAAGAATGCCAGAGTACAGATGGCCTAAAAGAGTACTGGAGTGGATGCCTCCTGAAAGAAGAAAGGGAGGACGACCACGGAGAAGTTGGCGCAACGATATTGATGAAGCAATGGCGGCAAGAGACTTAGAAGAGGCAACTGCGTATGACAGAAAAAGATGGAAATTGGGAGCGGAGAAGCGGTGACAGCCGTAATCAATCCGTTATTATATATACATTTTAAGTAACATGCTAGATGCGTCCTACTTGCTACTTACTACTTGCCATGCAAGTTTGATGGGCGCTCTCCCTAACATTAAACTATTATATTAACTTGCCACTTTTAGTGTATATTTGTTGAGTCTTGTAAATTGTATCAAATTACCACCCAATTGGGTAAGTTGTTACATCCGTCTATCCATCCAATGGCACTACAGCCCAAATCAGGCCTTGGCCTCCTTCAACAAGTTTCTTCAATCATTTCGATTTACCGTTGTTATTTTCCATGAACGCGTTCCCAGGCAGTTCCTGGCATTCTTATCGACTTCGTCTTCCCATCTCTTTTTAGGTCTTCCAACAGGTCTTTTTTCCTACATTCTTGAATTTAGTAATTTTCTGGGGATTCTGTTCTCATGCATGCGGAAAACTTGCCCTGCCCACCGTAATCGCTGCAGTTTAGTGTATTGTGCTAGAGTTGTTTCGCTATATTGCTCGTATATTTCTCTATTATACCTAATTCGCCAGTTGTTGTTTTCACTTATTGGGCCCAGTATCCTACGTGATATTTTTCTTTCAAACACATCTAATGCATTGGCAAAATTCTGTGTCATGACCCATGTTTCACAACCCCAACTTACTATAGGCCTGATCACTGCTTTATAGACCCGAAGTTTTGTTTTCAGGTGTACGTCTCGCGATTTGGATATGTACAGCAATGTCAGCATTACCACAGCATAGACACAAATTATTTGTTCTTTATGCTGTGGCACTGCTGTCTGCTGTTGCCGTGTGTGCCGTCTGCTGTGTAACGTTAAATTTTTACTTTGTTAATTTTTTACTGTAGAGTAAAATTATATCGTTAAATTTCTAATCTAGAGTAATATTGAAACCAACAAATAATTCTCAGAATTCAGGAATCCATTTTACACTTAATAGTAACTAACACCAAATAGCACATTAGTATCGTCCTTTATACATGGAAAATAAATTACATTTTTTAAATATTGCATAAAAAACATTTTTTCTTAGCTAGGTAAGAATCAGCAGTTCGAGCTTGGTCAATGGTTTCGTGAAAGATACAAACAATTTTTACCGGACCGATACCACAGTGATTTTCTAACAGTGATGTCCTCTGACGTGGACAGGACCTTAATGTCTGCTGCGGCACATCTGGCCGGACTATACCCACCCAAAGATGATCAGATCTGGAACGAAAGATTATCTTGGCAGCCGATTCCCATCCACACACAGTCGAAGAAGGAGGATATGCTTATCGCTTCTGAAAGACCTTGTAAGAAGCATGATCGCCTTTATCAAGTAAATATTTTGTTTGCCAATGTGATAGTTATAAACTGCCCAATAGAAACATAATAATAATCAAATTGTGGTTTAAATAAACATTAAATAAGGTACACCGCGGTAAGAGGAACCTAGAAAATCAGTCATTTCTGTTTAAGGCCTTCTAAAAAATTTAGTTTTATATACATTAGATTAGGTTACCGACAGGTAAGAGTTACACCATTTTCTAATACGAATGCGGTATTAACACATAAAAAAAACTTCAAAGAAGTTTTTTCTAACAAAAAATTTCAATCAAGTGACATGGTTTCCACTTGCCCCACATTTTCTACATGGCAAGGGGCAAGTGGAAACCTATCCGAATTTATATATTGCATTCAATGCAAATCATTCTAGGTCAAGTAGAAATAATAAAAAACCATTTCTGCATACATTTGTAATAAAAGTTATTAGCGACCATTATAGTGATTTAGAGAAATAGGCAACGAAATTAAAGCTTGTTGCCTTCTTGTAAGCTGGGAAAAACTTAATGGTTTTTCCATACAAATTCAACTTGGAACTTAAATGCGACTGATATGTCTGGTACGTTAGGAAAATAATATTTTCCGTCATTTTTTATGCATTTTCGAAGGCAACTAACTTTAACCTCAGTATCAAAACACTGCAAAATTCTATAAATAATAAATATAATTTGAGCCTTCTTTAACTAGAAATTTAATTAATATAGGTCGTAGCCTTACGATGTAACTCTTCTTCGATGGGAGGGGTTGGAACCCTTAATATATCAATATCGTCGTCAGAATCTGATCTCATCTCAATGAAAGCTTGGCCATCATCACTGCTGTCGGATTGTGTTTCCTTCTTCTTTAACTTTTTTCTTCCGTTTTATTGGATTTTACGGTCCTTTTGTCTTATTGTATCTTCATTTTTGCTGAATAGTCAGTGTGTGTTATGTTAACTCCAGAACAGATTTTCTACGCTTTTGCTGGTTTGATGGGGATTGTTTGACATGTTCAAGTAAAACAGATTCGAAGGAATTTTTTTCAGGAAGCCTTTTTAATGCATGGTTTTGATTATCATTTTGAAGATACTGTTTGTCTAACACAGAACTTCTGACCAAGTGTGTTGCTTGGCTGCCACTGGTATTTTCGGACATTTCTTCTTGTTGAGGGTATCATCAGGGTCATTCCTATTTCTCACTAATGATGCCTCCTTAGAGTTATGATATTGAAATCTTTTGAAAGCCTCGGGTTCAAAATTTTCAACAGGAATCACTGTATCCCAGAATGGGTAAATACCGGCTCTACTAAAACCGCTTCGGTAACTTTGTATCGTAATTTCTTCTTTGCCACTTTATAGGAGCTTCATCGTACATTTGTTTTAAAGGCATGAACATTTGTCTCAAATCTATTGGCTGTAGGAGATGGCTAGTATGTGGCGGTAGTTTTAAAATAATTATGTCTTCCCTTAAAGCAGTTTCTATAAGGACAATTGATATGTGTGAAGAGTGGCCGTCATAGATCAGAACAACGGGTCTCTCTTTAGGAATATTCGGAAGAAACGTATGTTTAATATAATTAGAAAATGTTTTCTTTTCCATCTATGCTTTTATTGTTGCTCCATATGTAATTCCTGGATACTCGTCATCTTTTTTTGCTAGCCATGTCTCCCAAAGATTTTTTTCTTTGAAAATAATAAGGGGTGGTAATTTTTCTCCTGTAGCATTGCCACCCATTAAGACAGAAAAGTTTTCTTTGCCAGGACCAACTGTAACTTGATGAGCGGCGTTTCCTTTTTCACCTACTACTTTTACACGACTAGGAGCTAGACAGAAACTGGTTTCATGTAGATTATAAATCCTCTTAGGGGGTATATTCGAAGGGATTTCTTTCACCAATTCAAAGTACTCTGCAATTACAAATGGATCTATACTTTTTTACGGGCCACTTCAACTAATTGTGGCTTCTTTTGAGAAAGTCCATATCGGCGCTTGAAACTTAAAAAATAATCATCTCCCGGTATTGAATCTTTAAATGGAGTTTTTATGTTATTTTCTGACACATATTGTCCAATAGGTAATAAAATTTCTTTTTTTGAGAGACCAAAACCCCATTTTTCCATGGTCTTAATATGGTCAGCAATTTTGGTCTCAATATCTAAAGGTAAAGCTGTTGGCCTACCCATAGTGGTACTTTTTTCACCCCTTAATCCCTTGACTCTTTTAAATAATGTTGCTTTTGGAATGGAGTAATGTTTTGATGCTCTGTAGAGTGTCATTTGCTTAGATTTTACAGCTTTTACTGCTTCTCTTAAGTTTTCTGGTGATATGTTGACAATGGTTTTTTTTGACATAATTACGAACCATTGTAACTGCAAAGAAAAAAAAATAAGTTAGATTAAACTGTTTTAAATAAATGCTTGGGTAAAGTGGACACTAATGTCCACTTTCCCCAATGTTGTGGGTTCCACTTGCCCCAAGCATAAAAAACAATGGGGCAAGTGGAACCTATCTAGATTTACAAAAACTATCTATACAAGTTAGTTTTAACCTACATATAAATAAAATACAATATAATTTTATACCTTACCTAATGAAAATCGATGTTAATTCGAATTCCTTGAATCAAAACCGTTGGCTTAAAGATAACAATTACAATTCGATGGTTAAATCGATACCGGCTTGGTAGATAAACACTTGTATAGTTTTGCTTAACGACAGAATTATGACTGACTCTGAGACTTGAGACTCTGAGCGTCAGTAATATTAGTGTAGATCGTTTTTGGGGAGATGGCAGTAACAGGACCGGATTATGATTTTTTAATCACATGGTTTTCACTTCCCCCATATTTCCACTTGTCCCGGGGTACCTTACAATCTAAACACTTCAGTTTAATAAAAAAAAAACCACGCATATCAAAAGGATGTAATCCTTTAAATTAGATTTCTTATTTCATACTAACACAATGTTCAGTATTGGTAGGATACAAGAAATCTAAATTTCTCTTCCGGAAGCAGATATGTCTCTTTTTATTTCATTATCTTTTAAATTTAGTTTTGAATAAATATTGTTTCTCCTTCACCCTATAGTTTATTAAGCCAGTAACATAGCCACTGCGCCACGGCTACCACTTTTAGAATGTCATTTCAATTCATAACAATAAAAATACTAGGCAGAGTTTAAATGAATTTGCTTTGATCCTCACCAAAATACATGTTCTGTCTTGGAATTTTTTGTGATACAACCCAATACACTCCATTTTACCAGTTAAAGATTAACCAATATGTGTATTACAAAAACTATGTCTTTTCTAATTATGATTTAAAAATACACTCGTGTAAGAAAAAATGATTATTTTCGACTAGAAGATTATCTTATTTTGGTTGAGTTTACCGAAAGTACAAGCTGAATATAGCCGCAAATGTCAAAAATATTTCGGCTTAGCAGTGTTAGCATGTTTTTATAATGCATATGTTGTATGCTTCAAATAAAAGAGATAAAGCTTTTAAAAAGTACATTTTGAATATATTATTTTATGAATTCTGCAAGTTTTAATTTATATGAAGCAATAACGAGTAGATATTTTTCTCTTTCCAAATTAATTGTAAACACCTTTTGTAATCTGGTAACTGCTGATTTGATATTTGCCAAATCTATCCCCTAATCTATCAAAGGGTAATTGCTAAAAAAATTTCTAATAATTAACTGCAATTAATCTCCAAGGAAACAAATATTTACTCATTGTTGTTTTATATAAATCAAAAATTGCAGAATTCATAACATAATATAGACAAAATGTCCTTTTCTAAAGCTTTATCTTTTTATATTTGAAGTATACAGCAATTACATTATAAAAACATGCCAACACTGCTATACCCAAATTTTTGTTCCATGTATGACTTTTGCGACTATAATCAGCTTGTACTTTCGGTAAACTCAACCCATAGTCAACCCTTATTTTAAACTTTAGAAAACCATTCAAGTGAAATGTTAAAATTGTTTATATTTGTTTGCCCCCTTATTTGCTTCCCCTAGCGGACAACACGTGCACTAAATTTAAAAAATCAGGTTCATTTATTCTCTCTGAGTTCTGTATCTAGTTTATTACTACTACGTCCATGGAGTAAAATATCTAAAGTATACATTATTTTATTTTAGGAACTATTAAATTCAAAATCCTATTTGGCGTTTTTAGAACAACAGAGGGAAATATTAGATTATCTGTCATTCCATTCAGGAGAAAATGTAACAACTCTACGTGACGTGTTCCTAATAAATGACAATTTATTCGTTGAATCTAAATATAATCTTACTTTACCGGATTGGACTAGAAACGTCTTTCCACAATTACTGTCTCCACTGGCACAACTTTCCATTGCTTTACCTGCGTCCACTCCGGAGTTAGGAAGGTTGAGATCAGGTAATTTTACTGTATATTTCGATTCACATAATCAATGATATAACTATGGAGTCATTGAACTACCAACTTATATAAAACTAATCCAGTAATTTGAAATCTACTGTACTGATCAAGTTACGAAAAGAGAACTTCATTGTTTTTTTTTTTAATTTAAAAACTAAAGAAGTATTAAGTTTAACAAAGCATTGAAAATATAAGACACATTAAAGTCATAGGTGAATATTTTCGAGAATATAGCACTGTATTCAAACAAGAACAAATAGGTATCAAAGTTTCATACTGATGAACGTTATTAATTATCTTGGATTTAAAACTGAAATAGTTTCTATTTTACTATTGGCGACGTGCAAGTACTTGGAGGGGATACGAGAAACGATCGTGCGCGAGTAGCGGAGAAATCTTGCATTTTTTACTGTACATTTCATAGATTTCATAAATTCATATTGTCAATTGTCATATTTCATATTCGTTTTGTTTATTTACATTTACATCTTCTGTCTCTGAAGAAAATGGGATTTATAGGAAATGCTGTGTTATAAATTGTAAAAATACAACAAAAAATTGTCAATTTAAGTTTTATTCGTTTCCAACTTCGAATCACAAATCTACTACAAAGAGAACAGTGGATTTATATCATAAAAAGCATAAAAAACATAACCTAAATTATGCATTATTCTTGCGCCCGATTTTAAAGTCAGTCTGAAATAAACAATAAATAAAAGTTCACTTTTAAGTGTAAATTTTGTTTCATAACACTCACTTAGAGTTCATTTTAACCCAAAAATCAAGTTTAATGTTTAATAAGGCTTAACCTGCTATTTTATGCATTAGCATTATTTATGGTAATTTATTTTTCTTAATTCTTCCATTATTTTTTGACATTTGCCACTACTAAAGCTTTTCCCTTTGACTCAGTGCTTGGTTGAAAAGTTATTTGGTGATTTACTTTCTCAAATCCAGTTTTTATTATTGAATTTATATTAACAGTAATGCTCTTATTCAATAATATATTTATTTGTATTTACGCTACATCAACGTTTTCCTTTTAATAACATACCGACATAACCTCAATCTTACTTTTTCTTCTTATTCTTTTTTGGGGCCACGTCCTTGACAGTTATCCGGTTACCTCGATCTAACATAAAAGCGCAGTAAATTTTGCTGATTTACGACACCAGGTGTCGCTGTTCCGAACTTGCACGGTCCCAATATTTCAGCATTTAATTTAAATTTATTAAAAAACGTACCGTTTTCTTTGCTGGATCCATGAATTCTTTAGAATCCTTGTTTTTTTCTGATTCACTCTTCTCTGAATAATTATGTTCATCACCATTATCAAGATTATTATTTTCGAAATCCCATCCGTTCTCCGAATTATTTTATTTTTTTTTTTGTTCTTTAGACGACTTTAATTCATTTATCCCAGTTTCAATATATTCTTCTGTAGACAAAATGCCAATTTCATCAAACGGAATTACAACAGAAGCTTCGCTTCGTAGGGTGATCTACCTATTCCTTAAATTGGTTTAATTAAATAATTTTGATTCTTTGATACTGCGTTCATTTGAACACTTTAGCTACTTAATTATATTGGAAATTTTAAAATTTCCAATATAATGATGATTACATTTTTCTGATCATTACACCATGTTGACGCCTATGAAAGATCGATCAGTTCCGTATGGGTTTCGTATTATTAGCTGTGCTAGGAAAATTTGAACTCTAAGGTTGACGTTTTGAAAATTTTAAATATAAGTGATGTCACTTTGTCTAAATTATGACGTGCAACGTTATATTTTATACATATATAATACTAACTAGAATTACATAAACAAATATACTGTCTACAATTTTAAAAATGATTATTTGTGGAATTCTATTGATGTTTTCCTTTTATTTTAGGTCCATTGATAGACTACATAGCTACGTTTTTGGAAAATGCAATTTTAAATTCGAATAACTCTCAAAAATACCTAATATTATCAGGACACGATTTTACAATCGGCACATTGTTAACAACTCTCGGATCAAACGACCATACTTTAGCCGAATATGCCTCCTCTGTCATATTTGAACTTAGAAAAAGCAAGGAGAACGTACCATTTGTAAACTTGATGTTCAGAAATAGTACCAACCTGTACGGAATCAAATTAAAGCAGTGTGCTTTTAACTGCGATTTTAAGCAATTCAGTAAAATCATTGCTCCAGTAAGGACAAATGCATCTGTATGGGAAAAGGAATGCTCTGATGTAACATTTTCGAATAGAAAATTGATCTTACCCTATCTTACCCCTTTTAGTCAAAATCTACAATATAGTTCAAGAAGTGGATTACCACGGAAATTGCATCACTTGTGGCCATTCCACTAAAAACCTTGATTTTCTTTGATTTTGCCTTTGCTGATCTTTATACTAGATTTGGAAATGCATCTACGAATTGATTATTTTAAACCAAGTTTGTCCTATCCTGTATATACTTAATTCACTATTGATTTACAAATTTATTTACTTTTATGCGGCAAAAGTAACACAACCTCGTGACACAAACAAATGGTAACTGACATTGACTTTATTTCTTAGCATAGAACTATATCACCAATGAACCACTCCAAACCACTACACAAACCACGAACAATTAAAACCACTCCAAAAAAATATAGACGGAAAAAAATCAACTGTACACTTGTGCCTCTGTCCACATCACAGACCACTAATAACCTGATTTGTGGTCCACATGTGCCTCTTCTTCCTCTACTTCAGTTTCATGGACTCATCATGATCATCATTCAATCATCGCTTATCCACTGCTGGACATAGATCTCCCTCATAAGTTTCCATCTATTTCGATTTTGTGCCTCTTGCATCCAATTCCTATGACAACGTTTTAGATCGTCAGTCCAACATGTTGGTGGACGACCTCTGCTTCGGTAGGCATCATCTCTTGCTCTCCATTCCAGTATCCGCTTTGTCCATCTATTATCTGTCATTCGAGCCACGTGACCTGCCCAGATCCATTTCAGTGTTGCTACTCTCTCTACTGCATCAACCACTCCTGTTCTTTGTCGTAGCTAGCGATTTGGGATCTTGTCTCATAGTGAAACGCCCAACATAGCAGGCTCGATCGCCCTTTGACACACACGGATCTTTTGAACTGTTCTCCTTTTCATGGTCAACGTTTCCGCACCGTTAGCAAAACACGCTGATTAAAGGCTTTTCTTTTAAGACAAACTGGTATATCAGACAATTTGAAAATATGGTTCAGCTTGCCGAAGGCTGCTCAAGTCAGTCTTATACGACGGAGAAGCTCAACAGTTTGGTTATCTTTTCCTATACGCATATATCTTCGCTGACTACAAGATTTGTCATCATCTGGGTTTTAGATATATTTATTTTCAATCCCCCTTCTAGCGAGGAAAGGTAGAGCTGATTTAAAAGTTTGGCCTCATCTATCCTATCAGCTATTAGTACAATATCATCTGCAAACCTTAGATAGCTAAGCTTTTCTCCGTTTATGTTTATGCCCTTGTCTGTCAGTTTTGCCCTTTTACATATATACTCCAAAAGCGTAGTGAACAGTTTCGGCGATATGGTGTCCCCCTGGCGTACTCCACGTTGTATCGGGAATTTCTGGGTTTGACGATCACCCACTCTAACACTGGCTGTTGCGTTTTGGTATATGTGTTTAATTATATTTATATACCGATAGTCAATTCGGCATTCTGTCAAGGCTTCCAACATTTTTTGTTGATTAACGGTGTCGAATGCCTTTTCATAGTCGACAAATATTAAAGCCTTTTCTAAAGTCATTTTTAAGTTTTTTCCATAGCCTTTTCTAAAACCCGCCTGTTCTATGGGCTGATAAAATTCCAATTTATTTTCTAGTCGTTTCGTGGACTGTCTAACCTCAAAACTAACTACGTGCAAACTTGTGATTGATTTATAAGTAGAATTAGAGTCGCATATTTATGTGATTCCATAACTTATCTCAATTCAAACGATTTTTTTAACGCTGTTTTATATATGTATGATGTGCTATTTATCTAAATAATTAATATTATTGACGTTCGAAAGAATATGTGATTAAATAAGTTACCGATATTAAGAATTATTAATGTTGAATATTTTAATATTAAGAAACTAATCTAATTATATTTTTAAATAAATTTAAATATATGTATAAACTTGGGGTTTTATTTATTGCTTCCTTCATTTACTAAATATTGTACTTACATATTATATTGTGGTGGAATGAATTCGAGCTATTTGATTCATCTGAATTTAGACAACCCATATTTCGTTTACTCTCATGCTGTGTAGTTTATTCCATACACTAAAAATATTTCACGAAATGAAGATGAAAAGATGCAGGTAATTTTGTCAATAAAAATATTCAACAAATAGGAGGAAAACAATAACCAAGTCTAGTAAAGAAAAAAATAGGCAGGAAATAAATTACGTCAATTTAGTAATTTCTTCTTAAGAAAGAAACAGGCATAGGTATCACAAGTGCAAAACGAAATATAACAGAGAACAATTATGAGAACAGTTATGAAAACAATTGAGTAGTCAAATTGAAAAATTTATAAGGAATTACAAACCATTGGCGTACAAAATAATAAAACAAATTTTAAAAATTTTAACAGTTCTTCGTTTTTCCCATTCTTCTCAAAACTTTGTGATATGAAACAGGATATTCTAAACATACCCTTATTGAAATGGATTAACCAAATAAGTTCCAGTTAGGGTAACTGGGGAAACCTTAAGATTTTGCTCCAGGTTTATTTTTATCTGTTGATCTTCCTATTATATCTTCTTTTTCATGTATGTTATTTTCGTGTATTGTATCATCACTTTCTCTGTTGTTGTACAATGACTGTATGTGTTCCCTTCATTTTGTGTTATAGATAACATCTGTACTCGTCTGTTGCGTAGTTAGTCGTTTGCTGATATTTCAATATGTGTTATTTTCATTATGGTATCTATCTTCTTCTTTAAGTGCCGTTTTCCTTCCGAAGATAGGCAATCGTGATTCACGAATACCTACCCCTTTCTATCTTCATCATCATTTTCATTATATGTACTCTTTTCGTTTCTTGATTGACTTTGCAAACAAAAGTAAGAAATAAAAAAGGATACCAAATGGGAAAAAAATAACTTAAAATAATCTGCTAAGCAGAAGACGCAATACTTGTCTTTCAAAGTGAAGTTGATTTACAACGTATGCTGCATCAATGTAATATAACCGCCAAAAAATGTAACATGTAAGTTTTCCCAAAAAAGACAAAATGCATGGTTACAACACCAAAATTACTAAGATGTAAATTCGTGCTGGAAGGTCAGATAAGAGAACAAGTGATGGAGTTTAAATATCTAGGCATCATATTATCTAGCTACGGAAAGCTTAAAACTGAAGTGGAAGATCAAGTGAATAGAGTAAACAGAGCAGCAGGCCTGAATGAAAAAACATGGAGAAATAACAATATCGAAAAGGAATTTACCCCACGTATGTCATTATTTGTCATCAGACCAATAATGACATACATGGCAGAAACAAGATCTGGCACAGAGACGACAAAAGGGATGTTAGAAACAGCAGAGATGAAAACACTTAAAAAATTTGATGGTAAGGCGCTACGGGACAGAGCTAGAAGATACAGATATACGACGTAGATGCATCAAGAACTGGGTAAGAAATAGAAGAGTAGAATGGAAGAATAGAAAAAAATGGAACGATCATTTAAGCCAAATGACAACAAATAGAGTAGTAAAGACGGCAAGAGACCGTTTCCCAATAAGAAGACGATCAGTAGAAAGACCACGAAAACGATGGAACGACAACCTAGTGGATGCACATTTAAAAACAGACAGAGTCATGTCCACATAAAAAAAGAAGAAGAAGAAGCTTTGTTTGCTACCACTGCTTTATTATTTTCTTCGTAGAATTGCTCTACTTCCTCATCTTCGTGATCTGATGTTGAAGCATAGGTCTGAATAATTTTACATGTGTAACGTTGGTTAATCTGGATGTCTATTAACATTACTCTTTTCGATATAGCCTTATACTGTGTGAAGCTGGATGTCACTTTTTTATTAATAAGTAAGCCTACTGCTTGATTTTCATCTCCTTTGTAGAATAGTTGGTGGCCACTTTCGAGTTCGATACATAGCTCTCCTTTTTGTCGTACTTCTCCCAGTCCTATCACTGTCCACTTAGCAACAATAGAGTTGATGACCGATATACAAAAATCATCAAAATCAAGAAAAAAATCAAGTATATATATAACAATGCAACATAACAAGCAAAACCAGAAAAAATAAAACTAAATACAAAGATAGAAGATTCTATCTCACCCAAGCTATTTACTTTAGCTCTAGAACAAGAAGATATGAGCCGAACTTTAGAATTGGTAAATAAAGGTGTGGCTATAGACAGCAAAAACCTAAATCACCTAACATTTGCCGATAATGCTGCGTTAATAGCAAAATACAGAGATGAATTTCAGGAAAATCAGAAGAAAGAGGACTAAAAACTAAATATCTGACAAATGAATCTTTAGATATAACTGAAGATACAACTCTGGATAATAATACTATAGAAAAGGTTGAGTCATATATATATATATATATATATATATATAATATATATATATATATATATATATATATATATATATAATATATATATATATATACTTAGGACAAAAAATTGAATTAACAAAGCTTAACTTAAAGACTAACTTAAATATGTTCCTTAGCATGGGCACCATTTGGAAGATTACAAACAGTATTTAAATCAAACTTACCAAATACTTTAAAGGCAAAAACTTGCGATGAGTATGTACTGCCGGAACTGACATATGAAACTGAAACATGGGCTCTTAACAACAATATAGTTCACAAACTCCAAGTGACTCAGATACCTATGGACCGGAGAATGCTCTACAATAAATTCAACGATCGCAAGTCTAATAAAGAAGTAAGACGATGAGAACAAAAGTTAGAAATGTAATCCAGAAGATTGCCATGTTAAAGTGGAATTGGGCAGGACATATAGGAAGAATGGAAGACAACCAACCGTTGGACGAAGCGAGTTATTAAATGGCGACCAAGAGCGAACAAGAGAAGTAGAGGCAGACCTCAAACTAGATGGACTGATGACATCAAGCGAATAGCTGGTCATGAATGAACACACCTAAGGGAGGCTAACATCAGACGATGGATGGAAAACCTGTTGATCATGTTGATGATGATAGTCTTCGAGCCATTTTCGTTTTTACCTAGAATGGTTTTGTTTATTGTGTAGTATAAAATATTTTCTTTCTTTGGATCTGAGCTATGTCAAAATAAATTTTTCCATCATTTGATATTAT